CTTAAAAAAGAAGCCGGCACCGACTTCGGTAAAGAAAACCAGTATCGTACCGGTGTCCGGTATATTGCGCAACTGAATTTCGGTATTGTGAATGCCAAAGATACCATTGGTGGCCAGCGACTGCCGTTGCTCACCATTTACAGCAAAGCTTCGGCCGCGGTAGTCAAAGGCGATCACAGGCGTGGTACAGGGTACAACCCTGAAAGAGACTTCTTCAGTCGTTTCTGAAATGACAATTGCTTTTACATAAGGTGCAAGCGCTGCACAAGGCGGAAACACCTCCCGGGAAAATATTTGTTCCGAATGCACCATTTCGTCTGCCTTTATTTGATTGGATAAAATCTAAGAACAAAATTATTTACATCTATCGGCTCAAAAACCTGACAAACGTCAGCGTTTGCGGGACACTTTATTTCGTATGCGGCTCAGGCTGTCCTGGTGAATGCCCAGGTAGGAAGCAATGTATTTGAGCGGCACCTGCATAACCACCTCGGGCAGATCGCGGAGCAGCTTTTTATACTGCTCTTCGGGCGTAAGTGTAATAATATCCACCTCACGATCCTGCTTCCAGTTGAGCAGGCGGCCGAGCATGGCCATTTCAATCGCAGGGCCACACTCCGCCCCAGCCAGCAGGGTCAGCACATCTTCCTTTGACCAGTAAAGCGCTTCCACATCGGTTAATGATTCCAGGGCACAAGGAGAAAGCTGACCACTACGGATAAAGAATACGGTAGAGGCAAATTCATGCACGGGTACAAAGTCAAGCGTTGTATCGCCTTCAGTGGTATTACGCAATAAACGTATCACCCCACTGTTCACAAAATAAAGATGCTCAACAGGTTTTCCCTGTGCCATTAATATCGTGTTCTTGGGAAAGCGACGCAGCCGGGTATGCGCCATAAAAAGACGCATATCCTTTAAGGAAGGATAGACCCCATAGTTTGCCAACCATTTTATCACATGCTCATACATTCTTAACTTATAATATTGATTGATCTGCGGTGTAGTCACCTTTTGTAAAAGTAGTTCCATGAGTTTTAAAACAAAAACAGTAAGGCTGGTAAAGACGTGTTATAACTTAATCAGGATACTCCATATAAAAGCCCTGCATACTTAGCCCCTTATCTTATACCAGGTTCACCAACCAGCTTACCTGGCTTCCCTCCTTATTGTTTATTCCTGTCAAATATTTCCATTATCGGAGCATTGCCAGACAAAAGTCAG